AATTTGATGATGATGAAAATGACGAAGATGATGATGATGATGATGATCATGATGATGATGAATCGGATGTTGATAAAAATGATGATTCAGATGGTGATTTTGATGACGAGGACTTTAATTTGGATGACGATGATGATGATGATGATGATGATGATGATGTTGATGACGAAGATGATAATGATGATGATGACGAATCGGATGTTTTTGAATATGATGATGGTGACGATTATGATGATGTTCATGATGATTATGATTATGATGACGATTATAATGTTAATGAAGATGTTGATGATGATGTACATGATTATGGTGATGATGAGGATGAAGATGATGATGATGTTGTTGATTATGGTTTTGATGAAGTTGATGATGATTTGGATGATGATGAAATACATGATAATGATGATGATGATGATGGAGATGATGATGATGTTGATTATGATTATGATAATAATGATGATGTTAATGATGATTATGTTGATGATAAAGGTGATGTTGATTATTTGATTGATGATGATGATTATCTGGATGATGATGATGAATATTCGGATGATATGTATGATAATCATGTTGGTGATGAATATGATGATGATGATTTGGATGAAGAGGATTTGAATGATGATGATTATGTTGATTTGATTGAAGATGATGATGATGATTATTTGGCTGATGATAATTGACATAATGGTTATGATGATGGTTTAAATGATGATTTGGATGATGATTATTTGGTTGATGATGATTTGGATGATGATGATGACGATTTAAATGATGATGATGATTAATTGGCTGATGGTGATTTGAAAAATGATTCAGATGATGATGTTGATGATGATGGTGATTTGGATGATGATTATGATTATTTGGTTGATGATGATTTGGATGACGATGTTGGTGTTGATCATGATGGTGATGATGTTCATGATGATAATTTGGATGGTGATGATGATGATTATTATTTGGTTGATGATTATTTGGATGATGATAATGATTTAGATGATGATGAAGATGATGATAATTTGTTTGATGATAATGATGATGATTATGATCATGATGATGATTCGGATGATTTCATGGTTGACGCTTCGGATGATGATGATGATGATTTGGATGATGATGAAGATGATGATAATTTGGTTAATGATAATGATAATGATTATGATCATGATGATGATTCGGATGATTTCATGGTTGATGTTTCGGATGATGATGATGATGATTTGAATGATAATGATGATCATGATGATGATGATGATTTGGATGATGATTAGTTGGTGGATGATTATTTGTAAGATGATTCAGAAGATGATGTTGATGATGATGATGATTCGGATGATTTCATGGTTGACGTTTCGGATGATGATGATGATGATGATTTGAATGATAATGATGATGATGATTTGGATGATGATTCAGATGATGATTCAGATGATGATGAAGATGATGATGAAGATGATGATGATGTGGGTGATGATGATGATGATTCGGATGATTTGTATGATGATAATACTGATGATGAATACGATGATGATGTTTTGTATTATGATGATTTGAATGATGATGATTATGTTGATTTGATTGAAGATGATGATGATTATTTGGCTGATGATAATTGACATAATGGTGATGATGATGATTTGGATGATGATTAGTTGATGGATGATTATTTGAAAGATGATACAGAAGATGATTTTGATGATGATGATGATTATTTGGATGATGATGATGATGATTTGGATGATGATGATGATCATTTGGTTGATGATGATTTGGATGATGATGATGAATTGGATGACGTTGGTGAAGATGAAAATGATGATGAT